GACTTAACAATAAGTGATTTTTGAAACTTCTGAGAATTTTCTAAACATTTATGAGTGATTCAAAGGAAGCACAAGTCAACTTGGAAAAAGCACGCATGCAGCCTGTATTGATCTTCTTACATGTACTTTTTAAGAGTAGTAGTAAGAAATAGTAAGGAAAGCATCCAACATAATGATTCATTTTAGTGAAACTGTAGTATGAGGGAAAGTTCCGTTTTCAAGTCTGTTCACTCTTAAATAAAAGCAGTTGTCAGGAGAAAGGGCACCGTCTGTGTGACCTGGTTGTGCTTTGAGCACTGGAACATTGACTGAACAGAGCTGTGTCTGGGGCTTCTCTTTGTAGTTTTCAGTGGTCTGTGAAGAGAAATTCTTTGGCAAGTTGCCTGAAACTGAAATATGTCTTAAAATTTTTGTAATGATAAAGGAAATTTAGCATGTATTTTTAATCTTATCTCAGAGGTGAAATGTTATATGTGTGTTTCAGTATTGCTTTTGTCAAACAAGTGATACCTTCAGCAGGAAAACAGAGTATTAGGTCTCTGCTTGTGTGCTACAAGAGAGGTGTGGGCTTTGGGTGGCTGACTAGTCCTGTTTCTTTTACCTGGGACACCTCCCCGGTGTCTGAGGACACCGCTCTTTCCTGCATGTGCGCTGTACCCTCCACTCTGTCCTCTCTGATGGCCTAAAGAGTCCCTGCGGACAGCTGACCCGAATTTATGACTCGGGTTGGAAAGGTCGCCCTTTACTAAGTAACTCATAGGGATAAAACTTAGTGGGTAATTCTTAATATATCCCAGTATACATAAAGAACAGATTACTTCTTTACCTTTTAGCAATAAAGCTCCAAACTAAATAACCTTCAGTAATTTATAAAAATGTTTAATAATTTGTTTTCCTTTTGCCTGTTGAAGGATTGAAATACAATTGTTTCAAAGTTAGCTTGAAATATAACTTTTGAAATATGTAGTCCTTAAAATGGTGTTTCAGAAATATATATATGTATATATATATATATTTCTGTGGAAAGATGGTAATTATAATCTTAAGGAGAAAACTGTTATAAGAGAGTATACTGGGAGGACCCATTTCTGCTTACGTGTATCCACATAGTATCTGGGGGATTTATCTCTGGGCATTAAGTTTGGTTATTTCTGGGGAGATGGATGAAATGTTGCTAATGCTCTTAGACTATATTGTTGTGTTGCTCTTAAGAAAAAAGAGCGTCGTGATCCCGAGGTCCTGGGATCGAGCCCCATGTCGGGCTCCCTGCTCCGCGGGAAGCCTGCTTCTCCCTCTCCCACTACCCCTGCTTGTGTTCCCTCTCTCACTGTGTCTCCCTCTCTCTCTGTCGAATAAATAAATAAAAATCTTTTAAAAAAATTAAAAAAGAGCAAAGGAGACATACATTGAAAATATGTAATTTCTAAAAAAGGGGGGGGGCGCCTAGGTGGCTCAGTCAGTTAAGCATCTGCCTTCAGCTCAGGTCATGATCCCAGGGTCCTGGGATTGAGCCCCTCATCAGGCTCCCTGCTCAGCAAGAAGCCTGCTTCTCCCTCTCCCACTCCCCCTGCTTGTGTTCCTGCTCTCGCTATTTCTGCCTGTCAAATAAATAAATAAAATCTTAAAAAAAAAAATTTCTCAGATTTCTTAGGTGCTAAATTTTAGTATTTATATATAACATAATTTTAAGAAATCTTATTGCTATCAGTAAAACTATACTAGATAATTCAGTTTTTAAAAAGAACTCAGTTTCTTGGGGCACCTGGGTGGCTCAGATGGTTAAGCGTCTGCCTTTGACTCAGGTCATGGTCCCAGGGTCCTGGAATCGAGCCCCACATTGGGCTCCTGGCTCAGCGGGGCACCTGCTTCTCCCTCTCCCTCCGCCTCTCCTCCTCCTCATGCTCTCTCTCTCTCCGTATCTATGTGTCTGAAATGAATAAATAAAATCTTTAAAAAATAAAAATAAAAACTCAGTTTCTTGATGGAACAGAAATAAGGCAAGCAAATACTACCTTCTAAATTCTTTTGTTTTTTCAGGAGTGGGGCTCAGGATGTGTGTTTTACCTGTGGTTGTTTGGACATCCTTCATAGTATATAAAGGTCCATAAAGGCAGGAAAGTCAGAGATTTAACATTCTCTACGTGTTGGGTGTCACCAGCATTTTAAGTATTCAGAGATGGGCTCGCAGTCCTGCCTTCCAGTACAGCTCAGGTGCACAACAGGGGAGTCTTTTTGTTTTGGGAAGTGGAAAGTTTAGGTGGGAATTTGCTTAGACATTAATGACAGAGATTCAGCATGTTGGAGAACATGGTGTTTACATTTCTCTAACTACTTTTGAGACTCACCCAGCTGAGCTTTCTTAAGAATGAGGGTGGTGGTATTACCAGTTTGTGCCAGCACGACTGTGACAGACCCAACCACCTCCTAGAATCATCATTATGTCTGAGCTGCAGCCCTTCCACGTCCTGAGAACACAGATCACTTGTGGCCTCAGTGGCATTGCAGAGCGGGTGGACGGAGTGACGTAAGAGACTCTTCGTAGCCGAGGTTTCAGGATTCCCAGTCAACTCCATGCACTCTTTCCTGCTCTCGCTGGTTTGTAAATGACTGTGCTTTTACGGCCATTTGGACTTCTCAGAATGCACTGCCCTAAAATGAGATTGGATTTTTTAAAACCAGTCCTCCATAATCCCTATTGTGTACTCAGAAAATGCCAATACTGGGGCACCTCGCTGGCTCAGTTAAGCGTCTGCCTTCGGCTCGGGTCATGATCCCAGGGTCCTGGGATTGAGCCCCACATCGGGCTCCCTGCTCTGCGGGAAGCCTGCTTCTCCCTCTCCCACTCCCCCTGCTTGTGTTCCGTCTCTCGCTGTGTCTCTCTCTGTCAAATAAATAAATAAAGTCTTCTAAAAAAAAAATGCCAATACTGAAGAATATATCTGATATTTTGGATTGAATGTAGGAAAATACTTGATTAACCGATTTTGAGATATTTGTATTGATAAATGACTCACTGTCTAAACTGTTTATTTAAATTAATACACTCCGTGTAAAATGTAGTCTGTTACAAGTACCATATATTCCATTCACTGTAAGAGTTACAGTAACTATGACAATTACATGCGAGGAGAGCTGGGGATGCACACTGCAGAGTGTTTTTAGTGAGACCATCCGGTCGTTGTTGATGGCCGTTTTTTAAGAAGAGAAGTAGAAGTGGTCTCGGGAGTTCCCAGGGGCCAGTGGCTGCACCACTGAGGAGACAGAAGAGCCCTCTGGGACTCAGGAGCCTATGCTTGTTCTCGCCACAAGCTGGCTTTACACCTTGGGGTAGAAGTCAGGCCCTGAGCTCTCTTCCACTGTGAAAATCAGCGACTCAGTGTTAGCTCCAGCATCCCACAGAAAGTATATGATTTGCAGATATTTAAAACGTGGGATTCTGTCCTCACGGCATTTTTATCTGCACGTTTTCATTCTGTGATCATTCCTAACACACCCTCTACTTGCACTGACAATGTTTATATCCTCTGGTTCTGCTCACCTAAACCCCCTGTTTCTGCTCTTCTGCTTTCTCGTTTCTTCTAAGGTGATTCTAGAGTAAGGTGACACTCCTTTCTCAAAGCCAAGTTTTCCTACTATCCTAAACTTTTTTTACTGTGGTTTAGTCTCATAAGTTTGAAATTTAATTTTTGACTCGTACACTTTTTTTTTTTAAGATTTTATTTATTTGACACACAGAGAAGGGGAGAGAGAGCACAAGCAATGGGAGCGGCAGGCAGAGGGAGAGGGAGAAGCAGGCTTCCCGCTGAGCAGGGAACCTTACATGGGACTCGATCTCAGGACCCTAAGATCATGACCTGAGCCGAAGGCAGACGCTTAATGGGCTGAGCCACCCAGGCATCCCTTGACTCGTACGCTTCTAAAAATGTTTTATGCAGGTATTTTTTTTCTGATAACACTGTGATGAGAAAGTATATCCTATTACAAAAATGCAATATACCACACAGACTTAAATAAACTTCTGCCTTCTTTTTTTTTAAGATTTATTTATTTGAGACAGAGAGGGAGAGTGCGGGGGTGGGGGGGTGCAGAGAGAGTCTCAAGCAGACTTCACACTGAGCATGGAGCCCAACCTCACAACCCTGAGATCATGACCCAAGCCGAAACCAAGAGTTGGGAACTCAGCCGACTGCACCACCCAGGTGCCCCTAAACTTCTGCCCTAAATTTATCCACAAAGATTTTTAGTCTTTTTTTTTTTTTTTAAGATTTTATTTATTTCACAGAGAGACAGCCGGAGAGGAAACACAAGCAGAGGGAGTGGGAGAGGGGGAAGCAGGCTTCCCGCGGAGCAGGGAGCCTGATGGGGGCTCGATCCCAGGACCCTGGGATTGTGACCCGAGCCGAAGGCAGATGCTTAACTGACTGAAACACCCAGGCGCCCTGATTTTTAGTCTTTTTAATCGAATTGGTATTATACAGGAGGGCTTTTAAAGACCTTTAAAATGTACTTTTAGATCTGAATTCTATTTGAGATGCTAGTTAAGCATTAAAAAACACATCTTTATGTGTTTGTTTCAAGAATGGTGACTTAAAATTAGGATTTAAAAATTTTTAGATGTATGATTAGTAATATTAGTACCATATAATATTATAGCATATTAATATAACATGTACCCAGAGGGCGAGCAAACTCACCTTGTGCTTTAGAGCAGCTCGTCTCTTTCTCGTGACATGGACCTCACATCCCCAGCTCAGGACTGCCGAGCTCTGGAACAGCACATGTGGCCTGATGCCTTCTAGAGCTCCCGGTGCAGGAATGTTTCCCAGTCACCCCCACCCCCAGCAAGCAGCCTGGTGCAGGAAGCATGCTATTTGTGGGCTTCATACAGACATTTTCTAAATTATATACTGTCATCAGTTTATAGCTTTCTTGAATTTTGAAGAAGTATGTTGAATGAATATCTGCTTATTCTCACTTATTTTTCCCCATTCCCTTTTTAGGCTTCTCTACAGTTTAGCCTTTAATGCCAGGTTTCTGAGACATCTTTGGTTTCTCATCTCTTCTATGACAACACGGATGATCACAGGGTATGTATCACATGGACTTACAAATTGAGCTTATGTACATGGAAAGTGGCAACCTAAATAAAAATATTCTAAGATGGTATTTTAAAGTACTACTTATTTTATGTAAGAAAAATTCTAGATGGTCTCAATTTCATAAAAAGGAGAAATTAATGCCTAATTTTATAGTTTATCTGTACACATTAAGAGTATGGCTTTATCTGAGAGTAGATTTGTTTTTAATATCCTCATTTTTTAAAAACCGTATGACTTTCATATGTTTTTGATAGTGAAAACACAGAGTTGAAGCAAATTTAACCTCATTGTAGACATTAAAACATATTAAATGTTGAAGAAACTGGTTTTTGAAACTTTTTATTTATGTAATTTGGTTTTTCTTGTATGAATCATTATGTAACTTGAAGTCTGGAATCTTTAGTATGCATATTTTAATTGTGAACTGAACAGAAAATTTAATATTCAAACATCCTTCGTGGTGAGCTGACCTAGCCTAGTGCCTCGTTGAATTCTCCTCTATCAGGAGTCCAAGCTAACTCCCCTCTGCTGTAATAGGAAAAGATGAGTGTGTGACTCCAGTAACCAGAGACTAAACTTCCAAAATACAACTAAGTATATTAGTAATTACAGAGGTCTGCAGTCCAATGAAGGAGAGACACCTCTCGCCCGGTGTCTTCTAGGGCGAGTTTTAGGGCAAGAGTTTGGAAGGGAGTGTCCTTCTGTGTTTTTGACTGTCTCCCCCTCTCCCCGCGCCCTCTCAGCCTCCGTCCCTTCATCCCTTTCTTTCCTGACAGGCGGTTGAAGGGATTTCTGGTGCATGAGGGTGGGGTGTCCAGACTGTGAACACACGCTGATTGGGTCTGTGGCATGTCAGACGGTGATGTGCAGAAAGGACTCTCACACTGGTGCTTTGTCTCACGGCCGCTCCTCTGCAGCAGGAGCAGGTATTCGGGTCATCTGCACAAACTCGTCTTCTAATAAAAGGGAATGTCAGTTTATGAGTAGCATCACTTTGAGTGACATGCTTGGTTTTCTTCATTTAATGTCCACGCCTCCAAAGTGAGTACTGATGCCACAGTGGCTGTGGACACTTACAAAGGGGAAATGAACAGGGAGAGGCAGAGGGGACATGCCTTAATGTCCAGAAAAATCCTTTTACACCCTTTCATTTTCAAATTAAAATGTAAGGTTTTTGTGTATGTTTTGTTTGTTTCTCTGGTGCCTTTCAGCCACTTACGACTATGCCACCCTCGGCCTGTGACAGGTTTGTTTAGTGCAAAAGATCAGGGATCGTTGGGACAGGAAATTGTCATTGGCCTCAGAGTGTTTCAGCTTAGCAACTCAGACCCTGCCACAGCTCTCCCTGATGATTGCCTATTTGTTTATGGCGTTGGTCTCTTGGTAAGGAAATGGAGTCACGGTGTGTGAAAGAAAAATGAGGTATTGTTAATTATATTAAACTATCAGTATTACTTTATAAGTTTGTAAAGTTACACAAAATTTTTTAAACTCATTATTTCTTAAAAGCAATTTGAGAATTTGGGTCTCACTTTACTTATTTGATTAAAGTCCCTCAAGAAATGTATGATGGGATATATATTAGGATTGTATTAATACAATGTAAGTTTCTTGAATTTACTGTTGGAATAAGATTTCAAATTGAAATGCCTGATTTTTCTGAAACTGGCATTCAGTTAATTAGGAAATAGTTTCATAACAAGACTTAACACTGGGACTTGTACGTTCGGGCGAGCACAGAGGTCATCACAGGAGCATGACAAAGTGTGCATTTCCTTATTGACCCCTGTGACGTGCTGGTGGCGTGGGTTAGAAGCCCAGGGGTGGTGACCTCCCAGGCTCCAGGGTGATTGAGGTGCAGCTGAAGATGCAGGAGCACATGGACTGCTGGTTCGTCTTTGCTGTTGGACATCCCGTTACCAAAGCTTCACACGAGCTGGCACGGGGCCTTTTTGTCTTTAACTCTGTGTAGACTGTTTTGACTATGAATTGCCCATTTCTTGTCACACTGACACCAGTAGTAAGTAGTACTTACGGTAGTCTAAGTGGTACTCTTAAAATCCTTTCTCAACAAGAAAGCATTCAGTAGCAATTTCTGTAGGAGAGAAACTCTTGTGGCAAGGGACGTGGTTGCCGCAAACGTAGCGTGGGAGCCGTCCTGCGGAGGCTGTGTCCAGAGGCGAGGAGTTACCTGTGGTCTCACGGATGCTCGCGTACCAGCCAGCTCTCCCAAGTTCTGAAGCAGTGTCTTTTCCATTACAGTAAATTATTCGCTTTTTATTTGCTCATAAGTCTTTGAGATTGACTTGTTTTCAGAGGAATATTTGAGTCCATGTTTATGGCAGGAAGAGTGGCCAGCAGAGAATCAAAAAACATAAGCTTCCTTTACGTCTCTCCTGGAGGAGACCACAGGCACACATCTGACCCTCCTGTCATTTAAATGACATTTTCTGTCATTTAAATGAAAATGATTCATTCCTTTTCTTTACCTTATGGGGGTTAAAGAGAAACAATAAGCTAAGGCTGAATAATTGCCTCATCGTGTCTTAGGGAACCCCAGAGTGAGAGCATTGAACACTGACACGTATGGGCCTAACTGCTGGTGATGGTGGAGTGCCAGGGCTGGCGACGGGTGACAGCAGGAGGCTGCCTTGCCGCTCTTCTCTAACTCGACCTGAACCGTGTCCCCCTGAATAGCATTTGCTCATCACTCTCCTCTGTTGTTTGGTTCTGCGAGGGAACCAAGAGATACAGACCATTTTTACTACTATCAGTGAAACATGACATTAAACTGTTCTTTTTCTGTATGTCAACACAATTTTATTGGGTGACTGGCCCGGTACTAGGCTTGGTGGGGAATAACTCAGGAGGTGGAAGAGGGCTCCTGCCCTCTCAAGAGTCGCCAGATCAAAGGGAGCCCCCATGCCTCTTTTATCCTAACGTAACGAGCCTTTTTCTGCCATCCCGGCTTTGGCCATGAGGTAGGACAGTTGTATTTTGTCCCTTTTTATATGTCCTCACTGCGTTTTTATTTTGGACAGACCACTTTCATCCATTGCTCCACTCAGCTCGTGTAAGTGCGGGGGCGGCACACGGCAGTAAGGCCCGTTCAGGATCGGGATGCGTAGAAGGATGGTCAGAGTACGTTTCTTCTGCATGACAGCGGAGCTCAGGCTACACATCTGGGTCCCTGTCCTCACAGTGCTGTTGGTGGCAGTGCTCTCCCCTGAAGTGGGCCCCATCGAGATCTAAAGCTCCAGGTGGCTCAGGCCCGCTCACCAAAGCCACACTAGGGATAAAAGGACATTTGCCTGGCCTTAACTTCTGCCTTGCTTTCACATAACTTTTGGCAATGTGGGCAACCAGTTGATAATTTGTGGGTCCTTACTCCTGGTCATAGCGCATCTTATCTGTGGTTTTGTAGAAATAGACATTCAGGGTACGAAGATCAGAGAGTGATCTTGCCTACAACATTTGCTAGCTCAGGACGGATAGGAAATGCTGTAGGGGACCATGGGGCTTTATAGATTGGAAAGAGCTTACAGGTGAACCTCTGGTTACTGAATGTTCCAACAAGACAAGGAACCACATTTAACCAAGGGAACAGATTCTAGGTGGGAGAAGTAAATTTAAAAGCTCACAGCTCTTAACACGTGAGAGAGACGACAGGGTTCTCTAAAGATCGCCTTACTTTTTAGAGCTATTCCAGGATGTCTCAGGACTTCTGGTAAAAGTGGGAGTGGTAACAGAAGCTGATAAATAAATGTGGCTCATAGAAACAAGGCCCAGTATACAAGAGGGGAAACTATTCCTGAATGTTTTATCAAGGTTCAACACTCAGCAGTTTTGAATGTTCCTAAATGTAAGTAGCTGGATAAATTGTTCATGTTAGACCAGCATGATACTTTGTTAAATATGTTAAGTAGAGAGGGGGCGAGGGGGTGGCTTTCCACATAAAAGTGGCATTACTTACTATAACCCTCTGTCTGGGGACCACTGGCGCACACTCAGTCAGTAACTGCTTTCGTCCAGGTGATCGTGATAGCAGGAACACTAGGAAAGAGTGCTGGCTTGGTGTCCTGCTTTCTAACTTGAGCTGTTTATGAACACATATTGTTAGAAGGACTTTACCTTCCCTTTAAGTAGTTTAATTGCTAATATGAATGTTATTTTCCCTGATTATGTTTTTCTGATGTCATGTCTTAATTCATTCCCAAATCAAAACTAACCTTAAAATCATTTTTTTTTCTGCCATTTCAAGGTCTATGGTGCCGCTGCTCCAGGTGATCTCTAGGGGTTCTCCGATGTCTTTGGAAGACTCCAGTCGGATCATCCCTCTCTTCTACCTGTTTAGCTCTCTGTTCAGTCACTCGCTAATTTCCATACATGACAATGAATTCTTTGGAGATCCCATAGAAGGTAAGAGTTTTGTTTTTTGCTGGCTTCATGGCCTATCTGTTTTCACAGATGATAGAGAAGTTTTAAGCCTCTTAAGTCTTTTACTGTGTTAAGAAATGAAAAAAAAAAAAAAACAACAAAACCCAAGTATGATAGAATATTGGATTATGTTTTCCAGTTGTAGGTCAAAGACAATCATCAATGATGCCTTTTACTCTAGAAGAGCTGATAATGTTGTCTCGTTGCCTTCGAGACGCCTGCCTAGGGATCATCAAGTTGGCTTATCCAGAAACAAAACCAGAAGTTCGAGAAGAATATATTACAGCATTTCAAAGTATTGGAGTTACAACTAATTCTGAAATGCAACAATGTATACAGATGGAACAGAAACGATGGATTCAGTTATTTAAGGTATAGAGTATATGGGTTTGTGTGTGTGTGTGTGTGTGTGTGTTTACTGAGGTCAAATAATGTACAAATGTGTTCTGACTTGACTCATAAGAATAGAAGTACAGCTTTGTTTTAGGCATAACTTTTAATTTGCAGAATTTTTTTAAATGAAGAAAAGTTCATTTTCATTTTACTTTTGCCTTCTTTGAAACCCTTGTTTTTACATTGTTACATGCATCTTTTATAAGTTGCTCTAAGTACTTTGAGAAAATGAATTATATAAATAAAATTTTTAAATATTTTCATTTTTCACTAAACGATCTCTTACAGATTTTATTTTTTTAATCTTTTCAGAAATTGATTAGCAAAGGTGGGGGATAAGGTCATTAATGTAATGCAAGTTGCATATAAATTATTTTAAAATACCTTCACTTTTAACCATGCAGAAAGAGAAGTTATGAGTTACTGTGGCTGGAGCACTGGCAGGAAGTCACCACTGCTGAGACTGTAACTGTGGGGTAGAAAAAAAGAAAAGAAAAAGGGTGCTTGACTTGCCATGAAATTTCTGCAGCAAACATATCTAGTCAGCTAAAATCGCTCATTAAAGGAGTGAGAGCAGAAGAAGTGCATTTTCCAAATTGAATGCTGGATTTACAGTCCGTTTAATACCCACGACCCCTCGCACACTAATGTGCAGTTCGAGTCATCAGCTGTCCCTTCAGGTCTTTTATCACTGCTTTTGTCAAGCTATCTATTTAATTGAAAGAAGTTAATTGAATGAAAATGATCAACTAAGCTTGTATTAATATTGCTAATGGAACTTTCTTCTTGGCCATGTTTGGAGAAAGATGTCAAGCTAGACTTTAGGAAAGGCCCATTAATGCTTGCACTTAACCTGATGGGCTAATTAAGGGCTGCTTATTCATCCGACGAGTGCACGATAGTCTCTGTCCAGCCCATTCTGCCTGATTTTACAACACATTTCACTTATGAGCATGAGCATTAGTAGCAGTGAGAGTAACTGATAATGTTTTGATTGCACTGAACACAGTACTAATGCATCATTGAATTTATAATTTGTGCAGATTGATGTAATATATGTTTGCACAATTTATTTTAATTACCTATCTCTATATTTCCAAGTAAACTTTAAAGGGCACATGTTGAACCCTTAATATATCCATTCTTAAAGATGGACAATTTTGCAACTTTTTAAGTTAAAAATAATCTACCTAACCTATTTCAAACTTATAATTCTTAGGTAAACTTGGCTGGATATGTATATTGTGGTAGCATATGTGTTTTTCTTCAAGTATTTAATTAAACTCTGGGATCTTTGTTAATAAAGCTTTCCATTATGTAGGATATCAGGTTTTGTGTACAGTATCAGATAATCTTATTTTATAGCACCTATTGAGAATTTTGTAATTTTCATATGACAGGCTTATCTTTAGGACCTAGAAATCTCAGGATTTAATAATGCTATAGAAGGTATTTTCCCCTGGCCCTATTTTATTTTACTTAAGCATTAAATGAAAATTTTGTAGTGGATGTTTTCTTACGCCTAAAAATGACTCATTACCACTTGATTAAGGATTGAAGGTTTTAGGAATTGAGGAGAAGGTCAACTTTTTAGGTACGGGATTGTTTTAGGTTTGAAATTGAGTTGTTACAAAGACCTTCTGAGTTTAGGACAGTATTGTTTGAAGACAATTTTTTGAACAGGATTCCTGTTTTTTGGGGGGTAAAAAAACAAAAACAAACTTTTTGATGCTACCTGATGGTAAGCTGAGCCCTAAAAATAATGAAGAATTAAGGTATAGTCTTTGTGTTGTAGAGAAGGGTTCAGCTGCTACTGTTTTTCTTTTAAGAAAAAACTACCTTTAATACAAGATAAAAAGAATCCCCCTCAGTGGTTCCTGTGTCCCAGACAGTATTGTAAGAGCTTTACATATACTGAGTCATTGAACACAGTAACTCTGCCAGGAACGTGCAGTTATCACCCCATTTTACAGATGAGGTCCCACAGCTGGGGGTGGTGGCAGGGATAGAGCCGGCCCTTGAACTCAGCTGCTGCTCTACCTCCCCCTCCGAAAAGTACTAAATAGAATGTTAGCATTTTTTTTGTATTTTAGTGCCGCATTTGTGTTGAGGAACTCAAGGTAGAATCAACCAAAGAAGGTAACAGCATTTTGCCAATGATTTCCTGCCTTCCACTGATTTTGACAGAATTGCAAATGATGAGACCTGACTCCTTCAACCACCAACCATTTTCATTTTTCAGTCTTATGATGGTCCTTTCAAACTAATTTCTGTGAGAGGCTCTGTTGGCTGGTCACAGAACATAGAATTTTAAGTGGATAGAGTCATCTTTCTTTGTCACTATAAGAATTGAGGTCAGTTGCTAAGCCCTGCATTGACACTGCTAAAACAGTTTATGCATTTATCAAATTTATAAACTCCTCTTGAAGTGTAATTTATAGCTATAATTACTTTAGCCCTATGAGGAGATAGGAAGTCCTGTTTGATATGCCTTTGTGTGCAGCTATCAGCCTAAACAGGAGCCACCTGCAAGTAACAAGGTGCATCGGGGAGCAGGAAGGAGACTCTTCAGGCCGTTCTCATCTGTATTGGGGGAGAGAGGTCTATGTTGTGAGTGATGTTCACTTTCTCGGTGGCTGATTTCATTTTTCAGTTCCAGAAAGAATTTTTTAAAAAGTGAAAATTAAAACAACCACACCCTGACATAACCCTCCCATGCCACCATTAGGTATCCGTGTTCAGCGCAACAGTACACCCTTTGTTCTCGTAGAGCTGCCTCGTGCCCTTTTCCATCTTTGAAGGTTTTTGTTTCTGACTACTAAATAAAATGGGTACTTTAAGAAATAATTTTGTAGTGTTTTAAACATTCTGGAGAATCCTGTTGTCTTTTAAAAATACACCAACTTTCACGAGTAGTAACTAAGGGCTTTATAAAACTTGGTTCACCTTTGACATGGGTAGCCGGCATCAGACGCTTCATGGCCCCTGTGGATTATTCGGGCACCGCTGTCGCCAGTTCCTTGAACACACCCAGGCTTTATCCCGGGAATGCTGATTCCACCCCATGCTGGGGAACTGTGAGTGGTGTTGGCGCAGCCCTTGCTCTCTCAGCACTTTTACGTGGTGAAAAAGACAAACATTCAGCTAATCACATTGAGATAAACGAGATCAGTACCGTCAGAGCACATAAGACGGAAGAATCAAAACTTTTCATCTACTCTAGGAAAACGGTCATTCTGGTCTACGAGATGATGCTCTTGGAGCTGGTGCTTTATTGGTGTTTCTCATATTTCATATCTATATATTCTTCATTATGAACTCAGATGTGTCAAAAATTCTTACAGGATTTACATTTACCACACTGTACACTGACCACACTTAAGTACCCATAGATTATGTGCTATATCCTGTACTTTGTATTGAACTTCTTGAAGAATTACCTAAGATGTTTGATTTTACTTACCAGATTTTACATATACGATTTAAGATAAAAAGAGATTATTAGGGGCATCTGGGTGGCTCAGTCGTTAAGTGTCTGCCTTCGGCTCAGGTTGTGATCCCAGGGTTCTGGGATCGAGCCCCACATCGGGCTCCCTGCTCAGAGGGAAGCCTGCTTCTCCCTCTCCCACTCCCCCTGCTTGTGTTCCCTCTCTCGCTGTGTCTCTCTGTCAAATAAATAAATAAAATCTTTTTAAAAAAAGGACTAGGCATTTTAAAAAAAGATTATTATTTTATATTAAATGTAACTTAGTCTTGCAGTTGCCTTTCACAATTTGGACTATATGTACTTTTTTTGGGTTACAGTAATTTAACTGGATGTCAAGAATCTCCATTCAGAAATGTGAGACTTTACCCTCAGTAGCCTTCAGCCGTTTAACGTACATACAATGCTGATTATGTATATGATGTAGCTAAATGTGGTGCGTAAGCATATCTCCTCGAGTCACTAGGATTTCGTGTCATCGTTGTAGCCAGTGCACTCAGAAACATACGGGGGTCCTGTGAAACAGTGCCTATTAACTTGCCATCTTGACCTGGGAGAGCTGTCGAGGGTGGTTTTTATGAGTGGTTTCTACGTTTCTAAGCAGTCACCTGCTTGATCTTTTTAACGTTGGATTCGGGGAGCCTGTTTACATATATCACCTAGTCTTAATTCAGATGGTAAATAATAGAAGATGTATAGCAGTTGCATGTGTTTCTGAATGTTTACTTAAATAATTTTTTGAGTTATTGAGCGTGTATATAGTCTAAGGTTTAAATCTAGTGTGGAAGAACATGATGTGGGCGACTAGAGTTAAACACCAAATAAATGTAATAAGTTCTATTTATAACTATTGAAATCTGTTGAAACTGTATATTGAGCTAGGTACACCTAATTATTCCAGTGTTTGCTTGTTTACTGTTTTATCTTCATATTTCTTAACACGCTAGTTCTCGAGTAACTGCATACATATCAGGATCTCCTGGGGAACAATTACAAACAGTTGACTGGTTTCACCTCAAATGAATGGAATTAAATTCGCCGTTGCTGGTGCCTCTGCATGGGCTTCATCAATAGGAGATTTCAGTACGCAGGGAGGGGTGAAGAACCATAGGCCTCACTGCACAAAGAGGTTACTTTGGGCAGATATTTATAACCTTGGATCTCAGTTTGCAAAATTGGACTTAACCATGACTTAGGTCTTGTTTAAATCTAAAATTCCTTCAGTTCTGGAACAGTCTTCTTTAGTAGGCATATCTGTGCCAGAAAATTTAATAAAATTGACTGAAAGACTGCCTTCAGATCTCAACACTATCTATTGATCCAGTTCAAAATTGTGACCCTGGTTTTCCTTACCTTTTACAATCTTCAGTCAGTTTCAGTAATTTTAGTGGTTACCTCCATATATTTTCCTTCTCAGTACTAAGTATTTGTGTAGAAGTTGAGTGTGTGATCCTGAAAATGGGTGCAGAGAAAGGGGATGTGATCAAAAGTGTTTTGACATCACAAATGGACTCTGCATGGGGCGCCTGGGTGGCTCAGTTGTTGGGCGTCTGCCTTTGGCTCAGGTCACGGTCCCACAGTCCTGGGATCGAGCCCCACATCAGGCTCCCTGCTCCGCGGGAAGCCTGCTTCTCCCTCTCCCACTCCCCCTGCTTGTGTTCCCTCTCTAGCTGTCTCTCTCTCTCTCTCAAATAAATAAATCTTTAAAACAAACAAACAAATGGACTCTGCGAAATTTTCACGGTTTCTTAAAATTTGCATTTTTCTTTAAAACTTAGAACTAGTTTAAATGAAGGAGGAAAGTGTTTTTAGTTGAATTTAATACATGGGATTTGACATTTCTAAAAGAGTTTTTTGGGAATTGGTCCAGGGCTAGTATTGCCAGGTTTTAGCAAATAAAAATGTCACCCAGTTAAATTTTAATTTCAGATAAATAACAAATGCTTTTTTTTTTAGATAAAAATATGTCCTATGCAATATTTTGGATATATTTTGGATACATCCAATGTTTGGATATACATTTTTTTAAAAGCAGTATTTGCAGTATATTTATACTAAAAAATTATTTGATATTTTTTTGAAATTAAAATTTAGTGAGGTATCTTTTATTTTCTCTTGTAACCCTGTCCAGGACTCATCTTCAAGGTTGGCTTGCTGTCAAGTCTAACTTGGTAAGACCTGCTTTTTCACAGTGACTCTGTCTGGACAGCTCATTCTTGACACACCTCCTGAGGCCCCTGTCACTTTGTGCCTCCCACTTTTTCCTCCCTTCCTCTCTCTCTCCTTTTTTTTTTTAAAGAGGGCCACTGATACCAGGACATTTATAAGTAATATGTGATTACTTCTTTTTTTATACTTAAAATGTGAAAGTAAGAAAGGGGGTGCCCTGTATTGAAACTTTTTATTTTTAATTTCACAGTAATTGAAAAGAAGAAAGTAAGTTATGGCATTAATTGCTTCATAGATAGTTTAATATTTGTGACCTGTAGAAAATAAATGACCTTATAACCATAGGTTGAAAAGAGATGACTGCCAGGAGGCAGATAAAAGGTTTTATTCTGGAGTTAGGCAGCCCTGGCCCTACCCCTTGGCAAGCCTTGGAGCAAGTCTCTTACCTTCAGCAAAGCTGAGTGTCCTCCACTGTGCGGTGGGGAAAGTCAGTCCACGGGATGTCAACATCCAGTGGGACGCTCTGTGCGTAAGCCGTAAGTGAATGGGTGCAGTTAAATCAATACGTGTACATACTGGTCAGAAAGCATGCCTTTTGGGGCGCCTGGGTGGCTCAGTTGGTTAAGCGACTGCCTTCGGCTCAGGTCATGATCCTGGAGTCCCGGGATCGAGTCCCACTTTGGGCTCCCTGCTCAGCAGGGAGTCTGCCTCTCCCTCTGACCCTCTTCCCTCTCATGCTCTCTCTCTATCTCATTCTCTCTCTCAAATAAATAAATAAATAATCTTAAAAAAAAAAAAAGAAAGCATGTCTTTTGTTAAGAGTTGTGTATTATGTGTGAATTTCAGCCCAGTGTCTGTTCAGTGTGAACTTATTTAAAATACTGATACAGCTGGTTATGAAAGTGGAAAGATGGGCTGTGATATTCTTCATACAGGATGATGGTGCTTCAGTCTCTGCTGTTGGAAGAGCAAATGTTTATTTGGTGTGCTCCGTGTGCACTGACCTGGACTTGTTTCAGACAGGATCACACACGTAGCGGAGATGTAAGTGCATTAGGTCAGTGACCATACTTTGTTATGACCGTAAAGTTAACCAGATAGAACCCCAAACTAGGCTGTTCTTAGTCTACCTCAGATGCACTTGAAATCAGTAATCATAAACCCGTAAACCCCTGAGCAAGCACAACAGGGTGTCGAGAGTTGAGGATAACCAACTGCGAGTTAACTAACCTGAGCTCATTTCTGCTGATTCAAAAAGGATATTACTGTAGTATTAGGAAAGGCTTTGTACAGTTCACTTGGTAAGAAATACCCATCAGTCGGGAAGCTGTATTCTAGATCCTGAGACGTTCGTAGTGATGTAGTTTCGTCTGCGTGGCCAAACTGCGCGAGCATTACTTTTTCCTCTGTCCATGGGCATCTCATGCAAGTGGTGTGTCCACATTCTAGTAGTCTAAGGTGTCAACCAAGGGCCTTCTCCCACCCATTTTTGTTGGACACAGAATTTTTGGTATCCCTGAATACCAGGATTTGCATGTCATAAAAGAAACGTTTGTATTTCTATTGTATATAGATGCCGAATTGTGAAATTTTAAAGGTAGGTCTCTATTAACAATTAAAATTATGCAATCTTGTTTGTCTTGTGGGTATATTTGGTGGAAATTTATCACATTATCCTAATTTTATTCCTTACCCAAGTTATATTTTATCCTAAGTCCTTATCCAGATTGTATTTTACTTGATTAGAGGCAGTGTGTGTAGAGGCCTGGCTGACTTTTTCAGAAAACATCATCATAGTCTTACTTTAACTACATAGTAGTTGTGTGATGAAATCCTGTTTGTAAAGGTTTAAGACTTTGGATTTACAATTTTATGTTGGTTTATCACGAAGTACATTTGTATTTAATATAAAACGTCAGGTCTTTTTTATTGTTTAATTTCTTTTTTAAAGATTTTATTTATTTTGAGAGACCGAGCATGTGCGTGAGTGGGGGGAGGGGCAGAGGGAGGGAGAAAATCTCAAGCGGACTCCACGCTGAACGCAGAGGCCACCGTGGGGCTCAATTCCACGACCCTGAGATCATGACCTGAGCCAAAATCCAAGGTTGAACGCTCAAAGGACTGAGCCACCCAGGTGTCCCATCAACGGGTCTTTTTTAAATAGGCAGTGCCGTCAGTTCTCTTTAGTCGTGTATTTTTAAATTTACAATTAATTACTGATCCTAAGTCAATCATCAAATACCTACTGGGTTTCCAGGTAGTTAGTCGGGAGTTTTTTCATCGGGAGTTTCCCGCATAGCCAGGGAAGGACTAATGCTCATTGCAAAAGGAGTAATGAAACAGTTCAGATGCGCTGGTGTGGGGAAGCTTTATGAAAGAAGTTAGACTGAGTTTGTGTAGAATTAAGGTGGGAGTAGGCCTGACTCCAGAAACTTACATAAGGAGAATACTGGAATTGTTTTTCTTTTTTTGACAGATGTCAGAGATCCATCCAGGACACTTTTTTCGCCTGAGTGCTCTTGATAGAGTGTCTTTTCAGAAAAATATGAAATGCTATTACTGTAGGAAAAATTTTTACAAAATTGCTGTATACCTGGAGATTTCCTGCATTATAGCTCACATGAGCTAATACATTGCCAAATTTGTGTTTGAAAACTTCATTACTACCTTCTTTGTAGTCTGCCTTTAACATCTTCCTGATAATTTTCCTCCCTTCGTTGGCATGTAACTAACTGCTTTGTATTTGAAATTCATTCTTGTGACCACAGGATGAGGTACTTCTCTGTGGCCTGATCTGCGGTGGCCTAGGGCGGGCCTTGCGGCCAGGCCCCCGCGCCCTCAGGCCTGTGGCGGGGAGCACGCCCCATCCTCTGCCGGCTGGTGCTGTTGCTGCCTTTGTGCCGGGGTCGTTCCTGAGCTTGTTCCGTGACTTAGCCCTGTGCTTCCTCTGCAGGTGATCACCAATCTAGTGAAAATGCTGAAGGCCAGAGACACAAGGAGAAATTTCTGTCCTTCGAACCACTGGCTGTCCGAACAAGAAGATATTAAAGCAGATAAGGTTTACTGAAAAATCTTTCTAATATGTTTTGTTAAACATATTTTTTCAGCTTTTATTTTTCTGTGGAGAAGGATAAGTTCTTTTAAATTGTTTCATTTATTACTTATTATTTAACTAAATATTAACAGTAAACTTTTTTATTAATTCTTAGGTCATAGAATATATAATGGTATCATTGACTTAAACATACATCCTGAGTTTATTATTAAGCCTAATTTTCTCCTTTAACTACAAATTATATTGGACCCTTGTGGTTCTTTGTTGGGATTGCAAGAGATTTTGCTTTTATTGGTGTCATAATTATCAGTGTGTATTTAGCATTTAAAGGAGACGGAATATGTCCTTGATTTGCTAAAGGAACAGAGACAAATTTGAGTATTACTGAGATCTAAATCTAAAGTAGATTCAATAGTATAAATATTTTTAGAAATTTAACTGACAAAGGTCATGAACTATGTGAATTTCTGACGAATCAGAATTTTCATTCTTGTCAGAAAAAGGCATGATTGTATTCATTTCAAAATCTTGGGGATTGGGGCAGAGAGTGGAGGGTGTCGAAGAGACATTCAAGAAAGGAGAGCAGTGGTGTTTTACACCAGGTTCAGATGCTGCGTCCGCACGGATCTTGACACCAGGTTCAGATGCTGCGTCCGCACGGATCTTGAAGCGGGTGGCTTCTAGCTGTGCCCGCTGGTTAGGCTGAGACACCATGCCCCATCCTATAGTGCGGGACGTCCTGTAGCGAGACCCCGGGGGGTGGGGGCCTCTGAACATACTTACCACCCAAAGGAAACAGCCTTTGGTACGGTGGAGCGTTCTGTCACTGGAGAGCACGGGAGCCATGGGTGCCTCCAACCCTCCAGACTAGGTGTAGTGAACTGAAACTCAAATAGACTTAAATCTGCAAGTTCGTAAATATACAAAAAAGAAGAACTTGATTGGCCATCTTGTGGGTTGCAGAGGAACCACCTCATTTTGAGACTGGCTTGGATAAAAGTAGTCATGCCCTGAGCCTGCCTTTCCTTTATGAACTTTATGTACCTTAGGCTAAGCAAGTAGTGGTGATGGGAGAGCCTTCTCGGTGTAGAAGTAGCTAATAGTGCATGAACCGGGGTCCCACAGTCTGCAGGCTGTGATGAGTAGGCAGTGCCCCTGAGGTGCAGACCCCACGGGGACCTGCTGAGACCGGGCTAGAGGCCCCCGAAGTTGAGGGTCGATCACTGTGCTGCTGCTTGACTCCAGAAGGCTCAGCTATGGAAAAATGGCAGCTGAGCCAAACTGCATCTGGTGGCATAATTGATTCCTGTTTTGGCAGAAGTTCTCGATCTCAGGGCCGACCTCAGCAACCAGACACGTGCCTCTTGAGAGAACATGCTGCCTGTGAAGTGTTCTGGCCAAAAGTCCCAAGTCGGATGTGATGACACCTCTAGGTGTAATTGCACATTTATAGGGAAACGGAGGGCCTAGAAGCCCATGTGAACACCGAGGGGACGCAGCTAGCAAAATCCGATGGTCGGGAGCATTGCTGGACAGCTGACCGGGGCCACAGCCAGGGCTGAGGGAGCAGGCAGAGCCTCGGGCTGAACAGAATGTCCACGGACCCCAGCCCTCCTGGCATACTGATGCAGACAAACTAAGTGTTTAGAATTAGGAACACTGAGTATTTAGTAATAAGAAATTGTTAATTCTTTAAGTGTGATGTGTTTTCATTTGTAAATGATCATATTATGACAGTTTACTAGATGCAGATATTACACAGCATTAAAGAGAACAAGTAAGATTTCCTTGGGATGTATTAGGGAAAACAGTTACAGTGTGAAAGTGCAAACGGGCAGCCAGGCAAGGAGAGAATGCATGAAGAGGACATGAGGTCAAAGAGCAGGACCTGGCTGACGTGTAACGTATGCACAACATCCACGTAGTTCACATGTGGCCAGTGAGAGCTCGTGCCGGGGCATGAGCATGTACTAAGCCAAGTTGCTGGCCCCACAGGTCACCCAGCTCTATGTCCCAGCTTCCAGACACGTGTGGAGGTTCCGGCGGATGGGGAGAATCGGCCCCCTGCAGTCGAGCCTGGACGGTGAGTTCTCTGTGGCCTGGCACATTTCTCCTTCAGCCCAGGGTCATGGGCTCTTGTAGACATACTGGGAAATCCACTCTTTTTGATGTACTGTTCTGAGATTTTATTTAAACTTTTTTTAGTGGGGGAGGGGCAGAGGGAGAGAGAATCTTAAGCCCAGCACGGGGCATGATCCCCGCGACCCTGAGATCATGACCTGAGCCGAAATCAGGAGTCGGAGGCTCAACCCACTGAGCCACCCAGGCGCCCCTAGTGTTCTGTGATTTTTGGTAAACATCTGCCTCCGTGATCAACCACATAGAAAAGATTCATCACTCCAGAAATTATCTCATGCACCTTTGTAGGTAGCCCCTTTCCCCAGCCAGAGCCCCTGGCAACTACTGACTTGTTTTTTGTCCTAATAGCTTTGCCTTTTCCAGAATGTCTTTAAATGGAACCATATAGTGTGTAGCCTTGTGAGTCTGGAAAGGAAAAGTCCAGGCATACCTCTGAGACATGGCAGGTTTGGCTCCAGACCACCGCAATAAAGTGAATGTCCCAAAATGAGTCAAACGAAGTTTTTGGTTTTCTAGTGCATGTAAAAGTTAGTGTGCGGGGTCACCTGGGTGGCTCGGTCGGTTAAGCGTCTGACTCTTTAATCTCGGCTCCGGTCTTGATCTCAGGTTGCATGTTCAGGCCCTACACTGGGCTCTGTGCTGGGCGTGGAGCCTACTTAAAAAAAAAAAAAAAAGTTAAGCATGCAATAGCATTGCATACATACATACCTTCATTAAAAATACTTTCAGCTAAGGGTGCCTGGGTGGCTCAGTTGGTTAAGCAACTGCCTTCAGCTCAGGTCATGATCCTGGAGTCCCAGGATCGAGTCCCACATCAGGCTCCCTGCTCAGTAGGGAGTCTGCTTCTCCCTCTGACACTCTTCCCTCTCGTGCTCTCTGTCTCTCATTCCCTCTCTCTCAAATAAATAAATAAAATCTTTAAAAAAAAAAAAAATACTTTCAGCTAAGATGCTGACCATCGTCTGAGTTTTCAGTGGCTGGTAATCACTGATCACAAATCACCATAACAAATATAAGTATGAAAAAGTTTGAAATATTGAAAGAATTACCAGAAACAGAAAGTGAGCAAGTGCTGTTGGGACATGCTGGATGCGGGGTCACCACGGACCTTCAGTTAGTAAAACACCATGTCTGCGAAGTGCGGTGAAGTGAGGTCATGTGTGCGCAGAACCTGACGAAGGTGTTCCCCTGTGTTGCAGTGGGTTTGGAGTCCCCGCCTCTGTCTGTGTCCGAGGAGAGACAGCTGGCCATCCTGACAGAGCTGCCCTTCGTGGTTCCATTCGAGGAGCGAGTCAAGGTGTGCACTTTGGTGTCTTTAGAGATTGACTGTGTACTGCATCATTTCGGTGTGAAAGAATTAACACCAACGCAAAAAGCTCTGAAGTTGCTTAGTGCCTAGCTGGTTATATAATTGTTATTTTTCTCACTAGATTGTAACAGTTGACAGTGATTTATAAAAGCGTAGTCCAACCAAATACCTCTGTATAGACTTGAAAGATTTTTTTCCCTTAGTTGTAACTGTAGTTTAAATGCCTGTCACACCATTGTCTTACAATGGGAGTAGAAGGTCTTTTTGTCTAGTAAATTTTGCATTGTTTTTGAAAATGCAAATTTTTTTTAAAAGATACGCTTCTGTACTTTACATTGAAGTTATTTATTGCAAATACTACTTTATAAAAGAGTGATGGCAGGTATCTTAAATTCCTGCCTGGTGACTTTTGACGAGTGTACAAAACTTTGTTTACATTTATGTGTTGAGATTTAAAATGTTTTGTTTGTATTCACCAACTTAGCAAATTTCTAAAAACTACTAGGCTCTATTCTTAAGTAATGGCTTTGAGAGGGTAATTTTAGTCCTGCCCACTTTCTTTATAGGATGAGCAAAAGACTGAGTTTCTTTTAAAGCTATTGGCGTTTCTTCGTTAAGACACATAGGCACACAGGCACAGATGTAACATGACATTACATAGCTCCTGAGCTCCCTCTACTGGATTTTTAGCATCAAAAAAAATTACTCGAATTTTTTGTTTAGGGAGATATTCTTACTAATATTAATATACAGCTTTACAAAGCTATTCTTTTCTCTTTACCACCTGGGATTTTCTAAAGGGTTTGCAAAAGAAAATACTGAAAATATACTACAGCATGGGATTTTTAAAATTTGTTACAAATTTTGTTATAAAATGGAGGAAAGGGGCAATATTACAAATACATAAATATTACACATTTACTGAGAAGGCATAAAGTCCACATTTGATACCTTGGCTTTTAAAATTTGCTTCAGGACTTATGGGGTTAGAAAAGTTAAGATTTATTTAGCAGTTTTTCCTTTTGTTGCTTCTATTTCTAACAAGAAGTCTGTTGCTTCAGATAACCTGACAACTTCCCCTGTTTGTTAGATCTTTCAGAGGTTGATTTATGCAGATAAGCAAGAAGTTCAAGGAGATGGTCCATTTCTGGATGGAATTAATGTCACAATAAGAAGAAATTATATTTACGAAGATGCTTATGACAAACTTTCCCCAGAAAATGGTATATATAATTCTGTGTGTCTGCATGTGGCAGGGGAGGCGAGGGATTATTTTAGAAAAAGGTAATCTTAAAACATTAGTGTCCGTCATCTTGTTCCGTAATGACTTTTTAACACTGGAATGTACTATGTCAGATTTGTTAGATGTATATTATCAAATAACATTGACAAATAATTATCCCAACAGGAGCCTTTCAAATACTGATTTTTTTTTTTAAGGCAAGAAACTCCACCCACAAATGTCTGCAATCTAAAATGTAGTTGACAGCTTTTAATTCTGAAAATGTTGATGGGCAGCCATCGACATTCTGTATTATGGTATTATGATAATCTGTTTATGTATATATTCTAAACTCTAAGCCATATTTAACATAGCAGAAGAAACCCCACTGCAGTCCAGACCCCTCTACAGACAGACATGTGCATCAGTGACCGGAGCGAGTCACACTCAAACAGTGATTTGGATCGCATTTAGAGCTCAGCGACCTGTTTTGTCTCATGTGACTATTTGACACCCAGTGTTAAATGTGTAGTGTTATCATTTATATATTAATAATTTTAACATCAGAGGATGGTATTCATGATACTACATGAAATTGGGGCTCGATCAGTGCAGGGAATTAACAATGGAAGCTTGGCAGGATCTGGAGCACAGCTTTAGGAGGTGATGGGAGGGTGTCAGAAATGAAAGAACAGTTGCCTCTTCTAGGGGAGCAAAACTTCAAGTCATTTTTTTCTTAAAGAGCTGATTGTGTTATGCTGTGGGAATAACGGAGGGCGGCGAGCATCAGTCACTGGCCCCTTCTCTGTCCCAGGTTTTGTGTGCGAGGGTTTGATGTTCACAGGATGTGGTTTTGTCATGGAATCTGGGCTGCAGACACCACCAGCTCAGTCCTGACCCCTGGCTGTGTGCTCTCCACTGCACCAGCGTGCTCTTGCCCAGCATAGCATGTTTTTAAATCTTCTCCGTGAACGAGGCAAAAATCTGGTACTCGGACTTCCAGCCCAACGTACTTTTGGAAACAAACTGGGCCTCCCCCTGTGGGGATCTGGTCCCCATACATCAGCTGTTGTAGTGGTTGCGTTGTGTCTCCGCACGCTGCAGGACAGTGTCCTTTTTGTCCCCCTCAGCTAGCTGGTGCTCAGTAGATGTTGGATCTGTGATTGAACCTGGGGAAGACTCAGTCGATAGACAAGATGGTAAATGTGCCATCAACTCAGAAGTGTTGAGAGTAGAATGGAGGGGTGGTCGATGCCGGAGAGTTTTATAAAGCCGTGGGATTTAGGAGAGGGAACAGTGACAGGCTTGGCTGTTCACGCGCAGCCGACCGTGCGCACACTTGGTGCGAGCTTGCTTCCTCCACGTGCCAGAGTTGGAATGAGCTCCTCAGCCCAAAAGGAGAATATGTATGTATCAGCAATTTTAAATTAACTTTAAAACTATCTCATGTAGATGATTTCTAAAGACATTACTGCCCAGGGGCCCCTGGGTGGCTCAGTCGTTAAGCGCCTGCCTTCGGCTCAGGTCATGATCCCAGAGTCCTGGGATCAAGCCCCGCATCGGGCTCCCTGCTTGGTGGGAAGCCTGCTTCTCCCTCTCCCACTCCCCCTGCTTGTGTTCCCTCTCTGGCTGTCTCTCTCTGTCAAGTAAATAAAATCTTTAAAAAAAAAAAAAAAAGAATATGTAAAGACATTACTGTCCAATTATAACAAGCCCCAAGTTTCCTAATGAGTCCTTAAGCTTAAAGTTATTCAGAAGTTGATCACACCCTGACTCCCCAGGGTGTGCTGATATTTGCATTGAATTTAAGGGAGTTGGAGAAATCTCCTAATATGTATGTTATAATGCTTACATCTCTGCAAATATTCTCTAATTCAGTCCTTATTAACATGACTTTTTTAAGCCATGTGTTAAAATTGGTATTTTGCTAGGGAGAGTAGTAAAATTAAATGTCATCTCAGAATGTTGCATTTACTTCTGGAAAATTGGTGTGAGGTGCTGTGTTGACTGATCATTTACACATAATCAGTTAATATGACTGCTCCATGTGCTGTCTCATCCTCACAGCGCATCCGGCCTTTATGGACACTCATCATCTCGTATTCACGTCTTCTCAGGATGGTTTTCTTCCTATCTCTTTTTTTTAAGATTTTATTTATTTATATAATCTCCACACCCAACGTGGGGCTTGAACTCACACCTCCAAGACTGAGCCAGCCGTTTCCCTCAGACCAGTTTCCTGGAGAGTGGCTGTTGGCCCCGTGGGTGATCAGGCTGGCTGCTGGAGCTCAGAGGTGGGGAGCCCCGCAGGTGCCGGTGCGCCAGTCCCAGCCCCAGCCCCGGGCTTCCACGAGCTCTCATTGCCCCACCCCGCCCAGTGTGCAACCGTGGCGAAGGATCACAGTTACTCTCAGGACTACTGTAGCTCTTTTCTTTTTTTTTAAAGATTTTATTTATTTGACAGAGAGAGACACAGCAAGAGAGGGAACACAAGCAGGGGGAGTGGCAGAGGGAGAAGCAGGCTTCCCCGCGGAGCAGGGAGCCCAATGCGGGGCTCGATCCCAGGACCCTGGGATCATGACTTGAGCCGAAGGCAGACGCCCAACGACCGAGCCACCCAGGTGCCCCAGGACTACTGTAGCTCTTGATATCATCATCCGTTAGCTTGGATGAGAATCCGCTAGAGCTGACTCTGAACTGTACTGTAGTCGGTTCCTGAGAGCCTTGCGTGTCTGTGCTTTTGTGTGTGAGTTGGTTTTATTTTGTTTCATTTAACAGGCAGGATTTATGACATTGTTTTCCTGAAGAACAAACTATAATAGGGTAAAATCCAAGTAACATTTTACTTAGGTTCCCCCCCCACACTGAAACCTTAGTATATAAGTAGATATTTTAAATTTGTTCTTAGAAACAAGTAGTGGCAAGGTATCTCAGGCTAGATTTGATTCTGAAAATATTATTTTGCTGTTGTATATTACCGTTCACAGAAATGAGCTTCAGGGAACACAGAATCTCAATTCTAGCCAAATTAGAGGGGTGACTTCTGTGACTGACCCTGAGTCTGCAAAAGCTGACACACTCACGCTGTCCTTGCTGGTGCTGCGGGTGGCATGAGTGTGGGAGGGCACGGGCTGCAGTGGAGCAGTTCCCGCTTACAGCACTTGTACACTTAGAATTTTTACAGAATCTGCTACCTGCTGAGCATCAGTTTAAGAAATACTACATATGACAAACAAATGCTTAAAGTTCATCCTTAAAACTTGGTATTAAGAGGAGTATATAAAGGTGAGAAATATCCGCTGTATTTTTGTGTTGCATCTGTAACTTAACCGCTTAGTTTTCTCTTGGCATTTTACCTAGATCTTGAGATTGAACGTATTTTGTAATCCTATTAATCAAAATACATGCAAATAACATATTCATGGAGTCTAATCAGTAAAAAGCATGTTCTTCATGTAACTATAGTTAAATTTTAAAAATAGAAGAGAATATGGTTTAGTATAAAAGCCTGTGCTTTGTAGGTAATAGACCTATCTTTAAATTATAGCACCCCCTTTACAGTGTTAGCAGTAGGTCTGTAGATACATAACTCAGCCTTCCTTTGACTTGGTTTTCTCACTGCAGAATGAGGATAATTCTTTTTTTTTCTTCTTCTTCAAGTTTTTATTTAAATTCTAGTTTGTTAATGTACAGTGTCATACTTGTTTCGGGAGTAGAATGTAGTGACTCAGCACCTCCACACAACACCCAGTGCTCATCACAACAAGTGCCCTCCATCCCTTCACCCATGTAGCCCCTCCAGAATGGGGTAATTGTTAACCCAGAAAGTTGTTAAAGGACTTGAAGTAATGTGTGTAAAATTCTAGGTAATTTCTAGCTTGGGGTAAATACTCAGTGGTCGTTACTCCTTTACAAAGTACAAGAGCAAGCTGAAACCAGGTGGTTTAGATCTCTTTGCCCCAGTCCTGTGGGAGATGTGGGCGTTAGTGCGGAGCTCACCTGACACAGCCTCTGTCCTCACCCCTGCCGGCTCAGCGGAAGACGAGGTCTGTACTGCTGGGCACAGTGGTGTAGATCTCAGTCCATACACTAAATTGTCCTGGCCCTGTTTGAGCCATGTTCTAGAATAGGCTTGGCCGGATTCTGTGACTTCGGAAGTACTGACGCCCGCCCACCGCCGTGTTGGAGGCTCTAGCAAACATGTGTTCTGCTAAGCCCCTTTCTGGAGTGTTTTCTCAAGGTCCCCTGTCCCTCGGGAGGTTTGGGGTGGCCGCACAGGAAGCCTGAAAGATGGCAACCGCTCATGAGAGCCCCGGAGCACTGGTGCCACGTGCCCACCTGGGCCGAGCCGCTCTGCACCCACCACGCTCGCCCAGCAGCCCGCCCCTCCACCCCTCCCCACCTGCTGAGATGCAGAGCACCCGCAGGACGTAGGGGGGAAAGGAGGAAGGACGTGCCAGTTACTTTCTCAAACCTGCGCCTTGATAGAGCCTGTCCGGTGAAGACCACCTGGTTTTGACTTTTGGCAGAATCCCTTTCATTGGCTTGTATTTGGGGTCTGTTGTCTCGCTGTAGGGGAGTTAGCCCAGCCACACTGTCCTCTTGAGGACCTGGCCGGACGTTTTTCTAAGATACCAGGCATAATTAAGCAATTTTGCAAATTTTTTTGTTTTTATCTTTGTGGCACACTATAACCAAAAAGACTTCCACCTTTTTCAGCCAGATAACACTTTGAAATGAAAATGGAGACTCTGGGTTCTGACTCTCCTGCACCGTTCCACCTCTTTCCAAGACTCTCTGCTGTTGTTGCACTGATGTCTCCTTTATTCGTTTTTTGCCTTTCCTGGTAACAATTTCTGTTCCCCTTGTATTCTTATGTGCTTAACTCCCTCTCTCCTCTCGTAGTTTAGAGTGTTTTAGAGTGTCATGTCCTTTAGAATATGAGGGATAACTTAATTCTCTCCTGAGCGCTCTGTCTCCCCTCACCTCCATGTGTGATACATGAACTTCTTTCTCTTTTTCTCCCGTTGTCAGCTTTGGGGGAAATACGGGTCCGTCTCATCGTCTGTTTTTACTCTCATTGATTTTTTTTTTTTTTGAGTCCTGCATTAAAATATCTCTAATATTCTTGCTCCCCTTCCCAAAACTTCCTGTAATACCAGCTTATTTTATTGCCTTCTTTTAAAATCCTTTCTCCTCCCCGTTAACCCCCTTGCTTTCACAGAGCCTGATTTGAAAAAGCGGATCCGTGTGCACTTACTCAATGCCCATGGCCTGGACGAAGCTGGCATCGACGGTGGTGGGATTTTCAGAGAGTTTCTGAATGAGCTGCTCAAGTCAGGATTTAACCCCAACCAGGGGTTCTTCAAGACCACTAATGAGGGGCTCCTGTACCCCAGCCCAGCCGCTCAGATGCTCGTGGGAGATTCCTTTGCCAGACACTACTACTTCCTGGGCAGGATGCTTGGAAAGGTAAAGTAACTTGTATGGAAATGGACCCCAGACCACAGGATGTTGAAGTTTTGCTTTTCTGTGTGGTTGCTCTGTGTCACTGAAGATGTTTATTCAGAATTGCTAAAGTAATTTTGGTGAACCCTGAACAGTATTCTTTTACATAATAACTAACACTTCATCGTTAAACGTTGCATGCACAGTAGTCACACACATAAATCATTTGGAAAACCTGGGGGACATATAAAACCCTGTTTGTCGAAGTCTCTGGGTAGATGTCTCTTGCCATCAGTGTGCACCCTGGAAATATCGTCAGTCTCCCCGTTGCTCTTGTCCATAGTGTTTAAGTGGTTCTTTTAAGGTTCTGTAAACGTGTAAAGTGCTACAGGGTGGAAGACCATAGTTGTTGGGTGTGGGCTAAGTGTTCTGTATGTTGTATGCAAACTCTAGGAAAAACGGCCATTAAGGATGACGTGATCGGGGCACCCGGGTGGCTCAGTCCATGAAGCATCTGCCTTCAGCTCGGTCATGATTCCAGAGCCCCGGGATTGAGCCCCGTGTCGGGCTCCCTGCTCGGCGGGAAGTCTGCTTCTCCCTCTCCCCCTGCTGCTCCTCCGCCTGCTCATGCTCTCTCTGCTCACTCTCTCTCTCTCTCTCTCAAATAAGTAAATAAAATCTTTAAAAAAAAAAAAAAAAAAAGGATGACATGATAGAAATGCTCTAGTAACCAGAATGCTGCATACCTGCGGACCAGCTACACAGACTCCTGTAAATGAAAGGAAAAAATTGATGAATGGTGTGTGTAGCCTCGTGGAAGTGTCCTCTATTTAGTGGTGAAACTGATAAACTAGATCAGTCCTAGCCTGTTGTAGCCCCTTCATCGGCCATAACAGAACCTCACAGACGGGCGGCTTACCAGTCACAGACCTGTGTTCCTCACAGTTGTGGACGCTGGAAGTTCGTGGTCAGGATGCCACGTGGTCTCACTTGCTGGGGGCCCTTCTCTCTGGGGTCCCTTTGATAAGGACACCGATCACATTCCTGAGGGCTCCATCCTCCTGACCTAATCACCTCCCAGAGGCCCCACCTCCTAATGCCATCACCCTGGGGGTTAGGACGTCAGCGTGTGAACTTTGTGGGACAGGCGGGAATGGTAGGCTGGGAGACTCCATTTAAATCAAGGGTGGCTGACTGCTTCCCTATGGGTCAAATGCAGTCCAAAAAAGGGATTTAGTGGTTTTTTTCTTTTTAATTGATTACTAACATTTTTAAATGGGGGAATATTTATATGCAAGGTTATATTTCTGGGTTACTTCGTTTTATTTTGTTTGCGTCTTTATACTTGAAACGAATTCCACATCAACAGTTGCCAATCCTAGCAGGATGCAGCTGGTAAATATCCCAGTAACATCAGTAAGTGAGACTTAGGTCTTAAACTGTTCTAGGGCACCTGAGTGGCTCAGTTGGTTAAGCGTCTGCCTTCGGCTCAGGTCATGATCCTGGAGTCCTGGGATCAAGTTCCGCATCGGGCTCCCTACTCAGTGGGGAGTCTGCTTCTCCCTCTGACCCTCTTCCCTCTCGTGCTCTCTGTCCTTCATTCTCTCTCTCTCAGATAAATAAATAAAATCTTTAAAAAATAAAAAAATAAACTGTTCTAAATGAGGTAGGAAATCATCTAGGTCATTTCCCTGGGAAATGAAAAGCTGATTCCTGATTTTTCTTTGAATGAATGATTCGTTCCACTCATCATAACTCTGGGATAGAGAAAACCTGATGCATGTGGGGCAGTGTGCAAGGATCCCCAAGTATTCAGACTCTTGCTAACAAATAGTCACTCTAGTGACAGTGACACAGGTTTACCCCAAACCCACTGTCTGAATCAGAAGCCTGATTTAATATCCCGAGAGCTGAGGGGAAAGCTGGAGAGAGCGCAGTGCTCAGGGCTCAGTGGTTCCCTGCTAGCCCTCCTCATCTGAAGGATGCACACCTTTCTGTCCTCCCCACCAGCGATGCTGGCTCCTCACAGGGGCTTCAGCCAGCCACCAGCTCCAGTTCAGACGATATCTTCCTTGTTTTCATTACTGGGGGTCTATCTCGCAGCATAGAATAAAGATGAAACCTACCTGGATCTGTAAAGGGTCGCAGCATATCCAGTAATAAGATTATTATTAAATAGGGGTGCCTGGGTGGCTCAGTCGATTGAGGGCCTGCCCTCGGCTCAGGTCGTGATCTCAGTGTCCTGGGATCGAGCTCCATGTTGGGCTCTCCACTCAGCAAGGAGTCTGCTTCTCTCTCTCTCTCTCTCTTCCTCTCAAATAAATAAATAAAATCTTTTTTAAAAAATTGTTAATGTATTGTTATAGATAGTTAAATGTTTTCCATGGTATTTGGAGGAAGTTCATTAGGGTTTTTGGATAGTCTGGGAATGCATTTTGGTTTCCCCTATTTAAGAGTGGGTTAGGAATGCCCGATACAGAATATTTACTGTCCAGCGCATTTTGAGGGACAGATTGGATTATAACACAAGAATCATAATTGGTGCAGCTTCTGCAGGTCAAAGGTATGACTGGAGGTGACACTCTGGAACTGAGGACAGCAAGCTACAGCCTCTGGCCTATTCTTTGTAATTAAAAAAAAAAAGTTTTATTAGAATTCTAGCAGGGATCATCATTTACATTGTCTGGTTGCTTTCCCTACAACGGCAGTTGAACAAAGCCCAAATAAAGCCTGTGCTCTGGGGCCCTTTCCAGGACAGTTTGCTGACCCTGCTGTAGGGCTAAGCCAACAGATCCTAAAGAACGTTTGTGTCGCATGGTCTCCATGCTGTGGGTCATGGAAAATCATTGTTTTGAGCAATGGCTGAGACTTACTACATTTGTAAGGAGACAACATGGGGCGAATGGATTTTAGAGGGTGAGATTCAAGAATTAAGAGTTAAGGGTCTGGGACACTGGCGTAGGTCCTCAGTGTGACGCTGTGAGGTCAGTGGAGACTGAAGAGTGACCACGGGATGTGTCCACAAGTCTTTATTTCCCTGGCGCGTTTTCTTAGAACTGCTTTATTGAGATATGATTCACATACCTGCAATTTGCCCACTTGATGTGCGATTCAGGGCGCCTGGCTGGCTCAGTCGGTGGAGCATGCAACCCTTGATCTTGGGGTCATGAGTTTGAGCCCCACTTTGGGCGTAGAGATCACTTGAATGAATGAATGAATGAATGAATGAATGAACTAACGAATGAATGAATGAATGTTTTTCAAGTGTACGGTTCAATAGTTCTAGTATAGTGAGAGTTGTGCAGCTGTCACCACCGACACATTTGGAACATTCATCTCCTGTGTCTGTTAACAGCTCTTCTTTCCCCTTCCCAGACCCTAGGCAAGCGCTAACTTACCTTTAGTCTCCATAGAGTGTCCTGTTCTGGACGTTTCATGTAATTGCACCACATCTACGTGGCCTTTAGTGACTGGCTTCCTTCACCTGGCATCACGTGTCCCAAGGATCGCCAGAGGTGTAGTCTGTGTCAACACTTCGCTTCTGGTTTTGCCAAATCATGTTCCCTTCTGTGACAACCACATTCATCAGCTGATGGGTGTGGGGTTGCCCCTGGTGATGTTTTTAGTGGAGTGGTTTGATAAAAATGAGTTTGCTGTGGGGTGAAGAAGAGCGAAGGTATAAGAGCAGAAAAGAGTGTCGGTGGCCTTTTCAGAAGGCTTCACTCCGAAGGGAAGGAGAGAGAGGATCCCCAAAGAAAGAACATGTTCCAGAAAAGAATAGGCGGGTTGGTTTTCAAAGATAGCGTAGCTTTGTGCAGGTAAAATGTCGATAAAGAGCCAGGTGAGAGGGACGGCTTAGCATGCTGGGAAAGACACAGCAAGGGACTAGTGAGCCGCCATGCTCCAAGAGAACTGTCTACGTGGCGTGGTGTCTAGCCGGCACGGGGCTAGTTCAGGGAATCACATGTACGATGTAGTTCTCAATCAGTTTGGGTGTAAGTGGCCATTGGTGGCCTGTGACTGCCGTGTTGAGCAGCTCTGAAGCACACATGGAGGTGTTGGCTTCAGGTGTCATGAGCAAGGAAGGTGGGCCAGGGGATGGTCTTGGTGTAGACTGGGTGAGTAAGGAAGGTCAGAAGGTGAGCTGTTGCTGGCATGGGTGCCTGGCTGATGGAAGGATGAAAAGCCAGCCTGAGGATTCAGCCCTTGGCGCTTTGGCATCCAGAGAGCCTGAGGGAGTGGCCGTGTGGGGAGGAAGATCAAAGAAGACGGGGTGTTAGAAGGGAAGAAAGTGTATCAAGGTCAAGAGGTGAACAGTGACCCCCTGCTATGAGGTTGGGAGGATGGGGACTATGAGGGACAAAGTGGTGCCCCCTACAGTGACGTCAAGCCAAGGGGTAAATCTAATGCGTGCTATTCACGGACTCAGTATGTAGGAATTGTGATTAATGAGTCTGTCATCCTTAAGTAAATAATTAAGAAGTTAATGTTGCTATCGTCATTATTTTCTGTGAGAATTAATCAGAACTACCATCATTTTCAGCTGTATAGTAAAATTTCTTATAGATCAGATTTGTAGCTCTGTTCTCTGTTCTCTGTACCTATGAAACAGACCTGCCATTGTTCACCTTGGAGTTGCCCATTTGAGAAGCAACTTATAAATCAGTGTCTGCAAAGCAGATGATGCTCTGACTTTTAAAAAAATAAATGAATAGATTGATAGATAACAGCTTTTTTGAAATACAATTCACATTCCATAAAATTCAGCCTTTTAAAGTGTACCGTTTGGTGGTTTTTAACATGTTCACGGAGGTGTGCAGCCATCACCACTGTTTCCTTTCAGGACGGTTGCATCATCCTGGACCGGAGAACTCTTCGCACATTAGCAGCTGTTCCCCGCCAGCCCTAGGCCGCCACTCATCTACCGTCTCTGTGTATTTGTCTGTTCCGGACATTTCATAGAAACGGAGCCTTACAATTCATGGCCTTTTGTGACTGGTTTCTTTGACTTAACAGAATGTTTT